CTGTTATCCCACATCGCACAATAATGCAGACGAGACGCTGCGAGGCTTCCAGACATTCGTTGGTCCTGCAGACGACGTGGAACTGAGTTTCTTTGACAACTCTGGGGGGATCGAGAAGGCGTGCAAGCTGACGAAGCTACGCCATGCTGCCTCGACTCCACACCACCCCCAAAGTAACGGCGTTGCCGAACGTGCTGTTCAACGGGTAATCGCGGGCACTACAGCTGTGCTCATGCAGAGCGGGTTGTCTCTTTTCTGGTGGCGAGAAGCTTGTTCTTGCGCAGCCCATGGAATGGCTGTCTCAGATGCGGGGGGGGGGTCTGAGTCTAGTCCTCTGCTTGTGAGAAGCGCCATGGTGACCCTTTGAGGGCCATGTCCTGCCATCCGGGAGTAGTGTCCGCTATCGGTCATTCAATGCTGCGCGTGCTGGCGACAGCGCTAAATTTGGTGACGAGACCGGACATGGCTCGTTCATGGGCTACCGCTTCAGCAGTGGACGACGGTGGCCTCAGGACTATTATGTCTTTGATGTTAAGGCCTTTACTAGCGCCGGGGATGGCAATTATTCCCCGTCCTGAGGGCAGGAGAGGGCTTGCCTGATCTCCCGGTGCGTTGGCTCGTGGCCGATGGAGACGTCGCCGATTCTTACCGCGGTGCGACGTGTGCTAGGGTGGAGCAGGAGGCTGGCGCCGCTTAAGGAGAGGATGATGCGCACGCGGAAGTCGGTGCTGACCCAGAGCCCAGACAACCTGGACGGCAGAGTCCACCCGCTGATTTTTTCGTTCCTGACGAAGGGGAAGTTCGGGGCAACATGCTTGTCAGACTTATGTGCCCGCCTAGAGAGATAATGTTCACCCCCGGAGACAATGAGCGGCTTGGACGAAGATCGCCCCTTCCCCCTTTATTCTTATTGAGGACGTTGACTGCGAGAGCCACGCGCGCGCCAGCTCTAGCTTCCATGGGGGGTCATCCTGGATGCGCGGGGGGGTGACTCGGATGGGGACGCTCGTGATCTGTCCGAGTACTGGGCAGGCGATGTTCTTATCCCGTTCTTGGGCACTGAAGCCGATGTGGGCGACGTGTTCGGGAAAACGCGTGATCAAACCACGAGTCGACCAGGAGACGTGGACATAGTGATAACTAGTGCCCTATCCAAGAAGCGACGGCACGATGCCCAAGACTTTTGCGAACCTGTTTTTGAAGAATGGGATAAGCGATGTCTCGCTGCCCTTCAGTGCTAGACATGGCACGATGCAAAGGCTATGTGCCATCACGCATGAACGCACATCGACGCGTCGTTACTGATACCAACATTGGACAGGCCTTACTTCACCAGGACTTTCGGGGTGTAGATACAAAGGGTACTTTGCACGCCACGATACCTGTCGGACCTCGCGATGCGACTGCCAAATTGTAGCAGGATGACCCAAACGTTGCTGGTGCGTCGGGAAAACCTGACGCGAACTCTGGTCTGGTTTGTCAGTCGCGACGGCTTGACGGACCTTCCGCATCGCCTCTATCGCTGTGCCTTGCCGTCGACTCTCTGCGTCGCCGACGCGCAGACATATGGGTCTACGCGCTTTTCCCGAGCCGCGCTGGTAGTGCCGCCGTCGGCCGCTGGCCCGACTCAGGGTCATCGTGGGCGTGTCTCTAGCAGTGGCGTCGTTGCTGCGATTTCATGTGCGCGTGCGTCGCGCGGCAGTTGGCCATGCGATAGGATCCTGCCGCGCTTGGCGCCTTCAAGTCCCTCGGTGGAGAATGGGGGGAGCCCATCCGTCACCAATGTTGCCGCTGTAGATCCGCTCGCGAGTGCGACGACGTCGCGCGTGAAGCGCGGACAGTAGGTAAACGAATCCACTGGGGGCGTCTCTTCGACGTTGTTGCTGACGAGCTTTCTGAGCTTGCGCACCTGGGAAAATCAAAATCCAGCGGGCGAGTCGTTTTCAAGTGAACAATGTTTAGGGCGAGACGGGCCTTGCAGCTTTCCTGTCCGAAGGTGCCAGATCCGCGCCCCACATAGAACGCGACGCGCTGCTTGACGCAGCGGCTTGCCTTCCCGGCAACCGGGGGCCGTGGGCTGCAGTCCGATGCCTTTAGCGCCTGCGCGCGGGCTCTCCTGTGCGGAGACGGCAGGATCGACGACGTCGAAGCGGTGATCGAGCCACCTCGGGAGCGATGGCCTGAGTTCTGGGCGAAGAAGGGCTACCGTTGCCCAGTTGCGCAGATGCGCCTAGCACTGCGCGGCCATGTTCTGTCGGGTGTCTTCTGGGACATGCACTGTCATAATGATTTGTTCGCTGGTGGCTGGAAGCTCATCGAGGGGTGGGGGTCGACCTGTTGCCCCGAAGCTTCGGCTCGCCCAGTCTTCCTGCGTCGATTATTTTACAGCGGCAGGGGAAAAAGGCGAACCATCAGAAAAACTTCGGACAGCATCGCTAATGCTGGCATCCGCCGTGGCCCCCCTGAGCCCCCGGGACATTTCCTCGGGCGCGGATTCCAGAATTTCGAGGTGGCGCGGGAAGATGCCGAGGAACGTTGAGGACACATGGAGAATGCGGTGAACCTGCCAGATGCAGATGACTCTTGGCATGGTGAGGCGTCGGAATGAACTGGGCCAGCGAAAGCCGGTGCTTCTCATCAAGGGGAACACGAAGTGACATAAACATAAAAACTCGGACCTCCTCCGAGTTTTATGTTTATGTCACTTTTCGTTCCCCTATCATTTCCCCTCGCCGCGGACAGCGAGACTTCAACAAGGGCCCCCCGCGCCCAACGCGGGGGGCGCGCCCTGCCTCCCGTTGTTTCTGCCCGTGCCAACATCTCCGCAACGGCTCCGCGCAAGGCGCCCGCGCCTGGGCTTGGGCGACACTTTAGAGCCGAAGACGTCGAAACTGCAGGAACATCAGCGACGTCCGCTGCGAGCGTATGGGTGAATATCCTGAAGCTCGCGCGATGCTGCCGGCTCGATACCCCCCGCTCGGCACGCGTGCTGGCGCGGCAGGTAACTAAATGGAACGAGTCTGCGTCCGACGGTTGCATGGGCCGTTTTCTGACATGCGCCAGCGTGGATATTACAACCTGGAGGGCTGTAACCGGTGGAATCCCAGATGTCAAATGGTAGGGCAGCACGCTGACGCGTCGTCTGCCGACTGCTCTCAGACCAGCCAGTCCACGACCGGTGGCTATAAGGCCCTTCGTGGGCCGAGGACCTTCTTTTCGATCAACAGTTCTATCTGCAAGGAGCAGACGTTGGTTTTGCATTCCTCCACGGTAGTTGCCTTGGACGCGTGCCGAATGGTAGGGTCCTTGCCAGCGCCGTGCTTCTGGGGCGACGTCTGCGAGACGTTGTTCCCGGCGGCGGGATCGATGTCCAGCCATCCTGCGCGCAGGGGGGGCCCAGAGCAGAAAGGCGCGCGGGCGGATGCTGTCGCCGGCAAAACCAATGCGACCTTTCTATGGGATCAGCCGCTGTGCGCGCCAGCCGAGGTCGCCGAGAAAATTTGAGCTTTCGCTTGCGCGCATGGGGCTAAGTTGTCCATCGCCGAAGACAGTGGGGCGGTGATCAAGATCTTGTATGCGGGTCGGACAAACGCCTGAAGGTACTTACTACGGACCCACCGCGTGTGTCTCGACTGGTTGGTTGAGGTCATTAGGTCTGAGAAGTGCAAGATACGCCGCTAGAGCACTGCGGCGCAATGTGCGGATGTGATAACCAAGCATGTCGCAAGGCTTGAACTGTGGAATGGCTTGTTGCACTTCTGCCAGATGCGCGAGCAGAACCCCAGCCCGCCCTCGTGGCCCAAGCGGGGAGTCTGGCAAAAGTGCCGACGATCAGAAAACTACACCTAGAAGGAAGGTGGGGCAGCCTATGGAGCTGCCCAATGGGGCTGAGTCCCCGCCGCCGAAGGATAGCAAGGCGTTGGGGAGACTCGATGCTCGGCCGTCCTCCCCAATGGGCAACGGCAACAAAACCGCGACCAGCATGGAAGGGGCCACCCCTCTTATGGCGGAGGCTTTGTGATGTCTGTCGAACTGCTTCGTCTCTTGTGCGCCTCCCTGCCCCCGCTCGCTTTCTCTCCTCTGTCGTTGCCAATGACATGGGGGTCGCGGCGGCGACTGGGGCGCGCGCGCGAGAGAATGCGACGGCGCGCGCCGCGCACGCGTGCGCCATGCGCCCGGGCCCGCCCGCAGCATCGGGCGCCCTTCTTGGCCAGCGGTAGCCGCCGCGCCAGGGGGGGCCCGGGGGGGGGCGAACGCGGGGGGGGGCAGGCCAGAGGCAGTGGGCGCATATGCCGCGCCCGAAGTCCGATGGAACGCAGGGGCGCCTGGCGACGGCGATAGCTGGCGCTGATGGTGTTCAGAAGCCTGCGTCGTCGAAACATGATGCGCGCCGCCCCGTGGCGCGGCCTCCGCGGCCTTGCCGTCGCATTGCGCGGTTGTAACTGCGTGGGCGCAAGATCTCATTGAGGAGTTCGATCCGTGCATTCATGCGGGCTCGTTTCCACCGCGGTCGTCTCGCACCGCCCGGGGGGGCATCGACCGCCGGCGCGAGAGGGGCGTGGGGTGGGCTGACTAGAACGAGGCAACGCGAAAGGAGCTCAATGAGCCAAATTGGAATACATGGGCAGGCATGGCGGAAGGTAGAAAACCTCGTGGCAAAAGTGGACGATTGCGAGTTCCGCGCGCAACCGCCGCCAGATTCAGACCTCCTCGGAAGGCTCTTGGAAGGTAGTGTTAACGAGGAGGCGCCTTGCCATGGTGAAATCACCACCAGCTTTACGACCATTCCAGCGTCGCCGACCAACGAGATCCTCCGTGGTAGTAGGGTGGTTGAAGAGGATCGTTGGAGGTTACCTTCCGACGTTAGTGCTGCTTTGAAAAAACACGATGTCTCCGGCGCCGGGGAAACCTGGCAGCTTGCGCCGACGAGAGCTGACGCCGACAATTTTCTATCACAGATCGTTCACTCCCAGCTTCAGAACGCTGGCGATCCACGCGCGATGGCTGAGGCCTTGTGCGGCGTGCGCTACGACGTGGCGGAGGCCGCAGCGCCTCCTATCAGGCGTGCGGCCGCGTTCTCCGACTCCACCCTCAAATTTCTCTATCCAGGCGTTGCGGGGTTAATGAATCGCGAGAGCACAGAGGTGAGGGCACATGCGAACCCTATCGACAAGCTTACGGTGCTGGAAAGTGCCTCTGCGCGGACAGTGATCCATCATTGTAACCCAGCATGCTCTCTGCGATGTCAGGGAAATTGCTCGATTTAGGATTGCCTTAACTGGGGCCGATGCTTCGGTGGTCGCCTCCTTGGAGTCAGACGAGGCGCTCGAGCGTCTTGCACTTCGGACCGAGACCGTCCAGCGTGGTCGCCGTCGACTTCTGAGGACATGATCGCTGCCGTCGTTTGGCCCGACAACGGCGTGTCTCTGCCCGCCCACTGTCAGCGTGGAGTTTCTGCTGGGAGGAAGCGGCGTGCGGCAGGGGGCATCGGGCTGGGCCGCTGGCCTCGCGAACGCACGATGCTTGCCCGGGTTCTGGGTGAAGTTGTTGGCGACCTTGTTGTTGGGGCCAGGGTGCGCCAGTACTGGGTGCATCAGGTTTCCTCTCTTCGACTCTGCAGCCGTGCAGCTCCGGGATCTCCCGTGCGAGCGCGCGCCAACGCTAATCGCGATTCGCTATGGCATGATCGACCCGGCGCCCGATGGCCCCTGGCGCCCCCGGGTGGGTCCGCAGTCCGAGCGCCGCATGCCGTCGCGCGTCTTGCAATCTCGGTTGCGGCCGAGACGGCGGTGGCTAGGGCTGCCCGGGCCGCTGCTGAGTTTCGAACGTCGGAACTAGCATGCCCTGCATTGCCTGAGCTGACCGCGTACACTCAGGCGGTGCGGGAGAGAAACGTAGATCGCCTGCGCCAGCTGACTGCGTGTTTTGGCGCGACCGGCATTCTTGCCGCTGCGGCTGTGCTGGGCGAACATGTGATGGTGCAGCTATACTTGGTGGTCAGCGAAACCTTCTTTCGACGCAGGTGCCAGGGCGGTCTGGCGCGGGCCAGCGACGCGAATAATGAAGGCGTTAACGTCCTTCCTCCGCTGGGCCCTGGACAGGTCACGGAGGCGCGATCCTGCTCCGCCCGCTGCGGTGGAGCAGGAGATGTTTGCATCATCCGCGTCGGCGAAAGCTGATGCTGCACCTGCGTTGGCCAGCGCCGTGGCGCCATCCGCGGCGGCGAATGCTGCCGCTGCCGAAGTGAAAAACTGAACTTACAGTGATGCCTAACGCGCACCATAAACCACCGCCACCGCCCAACAAGCAGCGGTCGCCAACGCCGACCGACGCCGCAGCCCAGGCAACGGACGCGCGGGGAGCAGCGACGGCGAAAGCTGATGCTGGGTTGACACCACCTCCACCGCGTGAGCCATGGGAGCGGCGCCGACGAGAACAGATACCCACCGCGCCACCGCTCCAACTCCCCAGCGCGGAATGGCCTGGTGATGACCGTACTTTGTTCAAGGGTGAATTTTGGGAGCCTGTCGACGTCCCGAGGACAGCTCAATGGTAGTCCGTTTGTGGGCTGAAGTACACGTGCGCAGGTCTTGCGATTAGGGGGGGACATATATCTCTGGCCTTCACAATGTGGATGCGTCGCGCAGCGAAGTGCTCGGGGCGCGTGAATTTCGCTGTCTTCGCTTAAGATTTCGTCTTCGAGACGCGTCATTTGCTTTGAGTGTCTGATAACATAGGGCTGTTGGTACAGCAAAGCCTCGGGACTTACCGAACTATATGATTGGGCTAAGTGGGTTTTTCGTTTCGTGAACTTCACGACCCGCGAGTCGAAGGCCCGCCTCCAAGTGCTCGTGTATCATCGGGTCGCTACCCTGCCGCAGCCGCGGAAACCGCTGGGCGCCGCCCGAAATGGGAGCAATCCAACTCGGGTGATTGCGTCGGCGAAAGCTGATGCCATTGACACCAGCACGGGCGATGCGGTGCACACACATATATATATATATATATATATATATATCTTAATAAAAGTATTGCCGAAGGAAACGGCATTGCTTTCCGCTGCGTCGGCGGGCATTCCGCCAACGATGGTCCATGCGCGCTCAAGGCAAGGCGTTGGGCGCCAGCAGGCGCGCGCCGTGCGCCGCGAGTTTGGCGCGGGGCCCAACGGGGGCACTTATCGAGCATATTGAAGCGCAGCCTTGTACGAGGTGGTTGGGGCAGGAAACGGCAGACAGACGTTTTTTTTCTCTGTCGTTTTGCTGGGGCCACGCGGCGGCCCCCACCTGCTGATAAAGCTTCTTGCTAATGAGAGGGGGTATCCTCCGTGCTTCGTGTGCGCAGCGCGGAATGGACGCAGTTATCGCCTTGACGTGGTCAGGCTGCGCTGAGACGAGATGGTGAGAGCCCCCGCCCCTCGGGGCCCCCGCGCGCATCCAGGGGAACCGGCTCGGGCCAAGGCAGAAACGGCTCCGCCCATGTACTCCCGGGCAGCGTCGGCGATGGCTGATGCATTTTCTCGCGCCGCGCCAGCGAAAGCCGATGCGCCTCTCGCCGCCGCGTCGGCGCAAGTTGACGCCGATGCGGACCTCGATGCGTCTGATCGCCAGGGCCCTGGCCATGTATTTCTATTCGAGGGCAAGGAGGTCGCGCAATGAGACGCCGCGCGCGGTGCGCAGAGTCAGTCTGCCACAGAGCGCGCAGACGCAGTGCAGAGGATCAGGCGACCTCCAGCCAACGCGGCGGTCATTACTCCCGAGGTTCATGCATCCGTGAGTTGGACTGCGTTTCGAGCACTAGTGGCGGGCCCGAGCAGCGCCCGCCTCATGGCTGCTGGGCAGGGTCCGCAGCGCCCCGACACCGTTGGGGGTTCCACGGGCTCCCACGCGGAGCTCCGCGGGCCCAGTTCTACGAGCGCGATTTTGTTGCAGAGAACCATTGCAGAAACCTGGGCAAGCTGTGTTCTCTGCTTGCTACCAGGTCGACCTGGGATTCGGCAGCGGGCATCCAATGTGTGCTCTGGGTGTTGACAACGCTCATCTTGCAGAGATCAGGTCGGAAGGGTCCGTTCGCTGACGGTGCTCGTGATGCCATTGGCAGTTATATGGTATCATTAGCAGCTCGGTGCTTCTTCAAAGCGCCCTGGGCTTTCTCCCGGTAAGAAACGTTTTGCATGTTTGGCTTCTCGACAAGCTGAAGACGTTTCAAAACGCGCGACGGCGTGTTAGCATTTGAAGCTTTCTTTTGCGCATTGCGGCCCGTCGCTGCGGATCGTAATTTTTGTAGCGTTCTTTGCTTTCTGTTCGAATGCTGTTCCCTGTCCCCCCTGCTGCCTTCGCTCTGAATTTTTGTGTTCCGCCGCCGTTCCCCCTCGCAGAGCTAGAAATGGGGGAACAGACAAACGTGTTTCACGTCGGTCGTGCGCTGAGCTGAAGCAGGCCTGTTCGGCCCGAGGGCCGAAGAGGTGCAATCGGCCATCGGGCCCAGAGGCCCGACGCCCCAGGAGGGGCTCCGAGGGCGGCGAGCAGAGGGATTGGGCGGGCCGGAAGGGCTGAGGACTGCGCGTCGTGAGAAGGAACTTGGAACCGTGGATTTCGTAGACGCCATTGTTAAACTTTGCAACCAACTGATCTGAAAACGCTATAGAAATGCAAAATGTGCAATAGCATGAGTCGTTTTCGAAGTTTTTGAATTTCTTGTTGGGGTCTGAAAGCGCCGAGGAAACTACGTCAGCGCGCCGAGGTCGAGGAAGGCAGGAAACGCCTTGGGCATATACAGGAAGAACCAAGCTTAGCGGGGACCTCCCATCGCAAGGGCCCCCATTCCATGTTTGAGCAGTTCATGACAGACGCTTCCCTGGATGGCACCATCATCCCGCCTGTTCTGGACTTCCCTGACATGGGGTGCGCGATGAATCAGATTTCCGACGCGGCGCTGCGACGTCCTGGGGGCTAGGGCGCCGCGCGAAAGGTCCCCCGAGATGTTGAGTCCGACTTCCTGATTCAGCATCCGGTGATGACAGGTGCCACTTCGGTAGACGAGCGCGCGGCGCGCGCGAGTCTGGAGGCAGAAATTCAGAAGGCTCATGCGATTAAAGACGCTCGTGGGCGCGGGGGGGTGGGGGTGCCCTCGTTGTCGGCGAATTTCGATTTGAGCGGGCGCCCCGCTGGGTTTCGGGATCCCTCGCGCCCCTCTGGGGCCTCCCCCGCTCCTTCGCTCGCCTCCCCTCCTTCGTCTTCCAGGAGGTCAGGGAGGAGGGGTTCGTCCGCCTTCGCGGCGTTTTGAAGCGCGAGGCGGCTTGGGAAAGGGTTGCGCGCGCCCCCCTCTTCGGCTGTTGTCTCCGTCGCGCTGCTATTGCATCTGTCTGTATGTATGTGTGTGTATGTATGTATGTATTTATGTATATAACGTGTGTATATATACATGTAACTGTACATTTATGTGTATATGTATATGTTTATGTATATGTATATGTATATGTATATGTATGTGTATATGTATATATACATATATATTTATAAGTATTTGTATATATATATATATATGTATTTGTATATATATATATATATATTTGTATATATACATGTATATGAATATGTATATACATATGTAAGTGTACATGTATATGTATATGTATATGTATATGTATGTGTATATGTATATGTATATGCATGTGTATATGTATATGTATACGTATATATATGTGTATGTATATGTGTGTATATATATATGTATATGTATATGTATACGTGTGTATGTATGATTGCATGCATATATGTATGTATGTATGTATGTATGTATGTATGTATGTATGCATGCATGCATGTATGTATGTATGTATGTATGTATGTATGTATGTATGTATGTATGTATGTATGATGTATGTATGTATGTATGTATGTATGTATGTATGTATGTATGTATATATATATATATATATATATATATATATATATATGCACCTCAAGGAACACGGCCGCCTGCGCTGGCGAGCTAAGGCCTATCTGCATATGTGTGTCTGGCCCAAAAGCCACCCTGCCTTGAATCCAAGGGCGAGCGCCGCCGTGGCTGGAGGGGCTGCGGCGGAATGCGGCTCCGCGCGCCCGCGCGGCGGTCTTGGCGGGCGCGATCAGCAGGGCGTCGGCGGCAGAGCTGAGGCGGGCGGCCGCGGGGCCGCGCCAGGGTTCGCGACCGGCGGGGCCCGGCGCAGTGCTGGGTGGAGATCTGCTTGCCTGGCGGGCGCCGTGTAAGAAGCGCGTGCCTGGGGCGTCAGGCATCGCGCCGATGAGCGCGGCTGCCCCGCCATTCGTTCAGGGGGCGGAGGCGCCCCGCGCGCGGCCGGGGGCCGACGCCGACGCGCTGCTGGCGGATCTGTCGGGCGAGGAGGCCGAGGGGGTCGGCGCGTGGGGCGAGCTGGAGGGCGAGCGCGATCAGCAGGTCGCGGCGTGGCTGGAGGCGGAGAGGGCGCAGGGGCAGCAGAGCGACGAGAGCGGGCTGGCCTTGCAGGTGCTGGAGGTCGGCGAGCGCGTCGCGAAGGGCGAGTTGGAAGTCGACGACGACGACGACGATGGCGCCTTCGAGGTGGCGAAGGCGGCGGGGGGGCATGAGAGCGACGACGGCGAGCTGGCCCAGAAGCGCTATGCTCGAGCAGCAGTTCGAGGAGGTTAGAGTTGCTGGATGTTGGCGATTGCGTCGTGGGAGGCGAGATGAAGGCCGACGTCGGCGACGCCGTCGCGGCGGCGGCGGCGGCGGGGGGGCGCGGGGCGACGGCGGCGAGCTGGCCTAGAGGAGGCTTGAGCAACCGCTCGAGAAGATGCTGGAGGTCGGCGCGAACATCGCGAGCGGGGGGGGGGGTGGGGGTCTGCGAGGGCGACGCCTTCGAGGTAGCGAATGCGGATGGGCAGGAGAGCGGTGGCGGGGAGGGCTCGGAGTTCTCGAAGACCGCGCGCTGGCGAGGCGGCGGGCTCCGAGGGGCAGCTCCGAGTTCTCCAGGCAAGCCCTGCAACTTCTGGTGCGTTGCGGAGGCGCGCGGCAGGGACTTCGGGGTTGGGGGCGAGGGCGACGGCGCGCATGGCGGGGCGCGCGACGGCGACGACTCCGACGAGGAGATCGGGTGGATAGAGGACGAGGGCCCACGGCGTGACAACCTCGCGCGGCCCCTGGGCATCCAGTTGGAGAGCTGCGCCGAGGGCGCCGCGCGGGCAACGGCCCTGGCCCTGTTGGGGGGCGGCATGGGGGAACTTCCGGGGGGGGGGGAGGGCGAGCTGCGTGTGGGGGCGGTGCGGCGTCATGGCGCTGGTCGTCGGCATCCAGCCTGGCGACGACGCCGAGGCCCCGCGGCAGGCGGCCCGCGACGTCGCGGAGCTGGAAGGGGAAGTGCTCCGCGGCAGGGCGCGGCTGGAGTGGGGGGGCCGCGGGCGGCCTCATGTCCGGCTGGGGTGCGGGTGCCAGCGAGGAAGCAGACGAGGGGTTGCCTGTTCTCTGATAGCACATGGGTTAGCCGGAAAGGCCCGCCCAGCGATCGTCGTCAGCAGGGCCGCGTGAGATCCCATTGGCGCCACCTTCGGCCAGATGATCAGCGCGCTCGTTCAAATTTTGCCCAGTACTGGGGCGGGGCGGGGTGGCCTTGGGGAACCTGGGGCGGGTGGCCCCCATGTCAGGCAGGTGGCGTGGTGCCTGCCTAGGGGTGGGGGCTGCCCGGCCTGGGGCGCACCGTGCGCGCCGCGCGTGCAGGGTGCCTGCCCCGCGCCGGGCGCGGCGCGACGGCGCGGCGCCGTCGCAGATCGTCGCGGGTCGTCGTCGTTGTCGTTCTGGCCGCCGCCAGTTGTCGTCTTCGTCGTCGTCGTGGCAGCTGCTGGTGCAGCTTCTGCTGCTAGCGCTGCTACTGCGAACGTTGCTGCTACTGCCTTCCAGCGCCCGCATGTCGCCGTTGCCTCGCCGCGGGGGTCCGACCCCCCTCCCTCGCAGTGGGCGTTGCGGAGGGGGGCGGTGCAATTGCCTTGTGGCGTGCCCAGCCCACGTGCATCAAGTGACATGGGAAATGGGCCCCAACTTGCTGGGGCAATGGCAGTGCCGGCGCCGCTGTATGTTGCGCGAGCCACGCGGGATGCGCCCATGTGGCGGGGTTCGCAGGACACAATCAGCAGGGCGAGGGGCGAGGGCCCGGGCTCGAGGAGGAAATGGGGGCGGGAACGACGGGTAGGAGAAGGGTGCGTGGGGCGCCGAGGCGTCAGCGCGGCAGCAGCAGAGGGAAGGCGGCAGGGGGCAGAGGGCGACGACAAAAGTGACGGGAGGAGACCGAAGAGTGTTTCCTTTGTCGGTAGTGCGCTAAAGATGCAGCGCCGTCTGCGCCATTTCGCCGCGGCGCTCGAAAATGATTGAACCTGCCTATAGTGAGGGCAAGAAGCGAGCGAGGCCTAGCTCGCCCGCCAGCTTCTCTGTTTCCTTCCTGACGACACCGGAACTCGAAACAACCCCAGGTAACAGACAAAGGAGCCATTCCGCTGGGCCCCCAAGGATGGCGGGGTCTCCTGGTGATCCGCGTAAGACGTCACACCGCTGCGCCCCCCGCAGCCCTCGAAAGCGGCGAAAGGTTCGCAAATCCTAGCCCCCATGGCGAGGTCTCCTGGTGGTCCAAGTGAGACGTCGCTCTGCCGCACCCCCGGCAGCCCACGAAAATGGCGACCGTTTCGCAGATCGCCCCCCCCCCCGGCAGCCCTCGACAGTAGCGACTTCACAGATCGCAGCCGCCAATGGATGGCGAGGTCTCCTGGTGATCCGCGTAAGGCGTCACTCCGTTGCACCTCGCAGCAAACCTGGAAAATAACAGCAGTTTTCACATATCGCAGCCCCCCATGGATGGCGAGGTCTCCTTGTGATCCGCGCAAGACGTTATTCTGCTGCGCCTCCAGGCAGCCTTCGAAAGTGGTGGCGGTTTCGCAGATGGCAGCCGCCAAGGGATGGCGAGGTTTTTCTGGTGGTCCGCGTAAGACGTCACCCCGCTGCACCTCCCAGCAGCCCCTGAAAATTGCGCCAGGTTCGCAGATCGCAGCCCTTCAGGGATGGCGAGGTCTCCTGGTGATCCGCGTGCGCCGTCATTCCGCCGACCCCCCAGCAGACCCCGAAAGTGGCGACAGTTTCGCAAATCGCATCCGCCAAGGGATGGGGATGGCGAGGTCTCCTGGGGATCAGCGTAAGACGTCACTCCGCTGTATTTCCCAGCGGCCCTCGAAAGTGGCGACAGGTTCGCAGATCGCACCCCTCCAGGGATGGCCAGGTAGGAAGCAATCTGGCACATAAGAAGGGGCGACGAGGTAAGAGGCAGGCAGGAAAGATGAGTGAAGGAGGGGTGGGGGGCGGGAAGGAGGTGAAGGAGACGCGCGAGCAGTGCTCTTTTCAAAACGACTACGCAGCGCAGGAGGGTTGGGAAAAAACGATCCTGGTGTGGCCTCAATCAGACGAGCGTTTGGAGTCAGGTTTGGGCTTCGCGCGGGCCGTGTCCGTCACCACTTTGGCCACAATCTTGGTCATCACTTTGGCCACCTTGGCCACCCATACTGCACCCTTCGATCAAGCCGCTGGGGACCAGGGCGAGGAAGGCAGGGGCCACCGCGACCTGGACCGGCACAGTCTCCGCGCCAATGTCGTCGGCCCACCGCCTCCGAAAGGGTCGTTCCCTCCCGCGGCCTGTCCACCTACGGCCTGTGGATGCTCACTTCCGCGTTCCTCACGGTGCTATCGACGTTCGTGCTGATGGCCCCCACGTCGTCCGTATCCTCGCTGTAGCCTTGGTTTCCGAGCAGGTTGTCGCACTTCTCCATGAGCCCGTCGATGCACACGTCGACGCTTTTCACTGGAGTCACGAAGTCTCCGCCGCCGATGGTTATGTTGGAGCCGTTCTCCTCCGTGGGAGCGGCGGTGCGCTCGCCGTCGCCCACGGTGCTGCAGAACCGCTGCGTCAACCTGTCATCGGAGGTGCTTTCCGCCACGTCGTCCCAGCCCTTCTTGCCGATGGTCATCGCGTTGTCCTATCCTCGCCGTAGCCCTGGCTCTGCCACGGGTCGACGTTCTTCTTCGTCGGCTCGGCGATGCACTCGCAGACGCTGTCCAAAAGATCCACAGAGTCCTCGCCACCGATGCTGATGACGCCTCTCTCCTCCGTGAGCTCGGCGATGTGCTCGCCAACATCAACGGTGCCGCAACACCATTGCATCACCCAAAAAAGTGAGAATTCACGGCCCCCAGCGACACCGCGAGGAGGGAAAGAGGGAGGTGTTTGGGGAGGGGGTGGAAGAGACGGCGAGATCAGGCGTTGACGGGGTCCGTGGACGAGGACGTTGGCTTTGAGACTGGCTCCAGGTCAGACAGAGAGGAGGGAGGAGGGGGACGAAGGATTGAGGGAAGGAGGGGAATGGAGTATCTGTTACCTTGCAAAGATGTTGCGTCTCCTGTACTGTATGCCTCGTGGAGGCGTCTTGCAACCTTCGTGGAGGCTTCGGGGGGGGGCTTTTTGAGGCCTGGGCCGTTTTGATGTCTTGGGTCTTGGGCGCCATGATTCATCCGAGCTCTCCCGAAGCGGCTCGGTGGAACCATCTTGGGGCCGCTAGGTCGGATTTTGGGGTCGTCTGGTAGTCCTCTTGGGCCGGTTCTGGGCCGTCTCGGGGGGTCCTTGGGCCGTCCTAGGGATTTCTCACGGACCTCTGTGGCTTCTTAGAGGCCTCATTCTGGCCATACAGTCGGGCCGCTGAAGAAGGAACTCTTTCCGTGGGGGAGGTGCTCAGTGTTCCTTACTTGTTTTACAGTTCGTCTTATGTGTTCCTTAGGTCTACTATGGGAAATCAGAGCTAACTTACGGAAGAAGGCCTCGTTCCTTACAGCGTCTCGACTGTAGTGGGCAGGAAAGCCAGAGCGGGAAGCATCGCATCCCACCAACATGCCTGAAAGTGCATGCGTAAGGACACCACACAGCACGGCACGGCCTGCGCCAGGAGTTGCGGCATTGTTGGAGTGCTCCGGACACCCCACATCGCGGAATCGCGAGATGTTCCGTTCTGTCCTTTTACTTCACAAAGTTGCGCCAGACACACCGCAGGAATCTCGAGATGGTTCGCTGCACCCCCGTGCGCCGCAAGTTTCGCCAGACACCGGCACCACAGAATCACGAGTTGGTCCGATCAGTGTCCTTGCGCGCCATAGATTGTGCCAAACACGCGATACCACGAAATCGCGAGTTGGTCCCCTTTGTCCCCGTCTTTCATTTACTGCAACAGCGGGCCCCGCCGGACCCGGGGCCGAAGACCACCAAGGGCAGTGCCCCTGGGGCACCCAGAGTATACAAAGTCCCCCCTCCCGCCCCTGGGACCTCCCTGGAGGCTGCTCCGGGCTCTCTTCCTCGACTCTGGGGGCCCTCAAATCCTCCAGTGCCCTCCAAGGCAGCCCAAGAAGCTCCCAAAACGAACGCTGTGCGTGCTTCTGCGACTTGGGCATAGTAGAGTCGCGCTGGAGGCATGTTTGGGTACCTCTTGGTAGCTTCTTGGAGCCTGTAGGAACCTGCTGGCTGGTTGGGGCAGCATCTCGGCGCATGTGGGGGCCCGTTAGGCCATTTTGAGTTTGCCTTGGGAGATGTCGCAGTCTTTTGGAGCGGTCTTGAGCGGCCTTGGCCCTGTCTTGAGGCCGACAAGGGCGTCCGGGAGGAAAGCCAGGGGGCGTCTCTTGGGAAGAATAATTGCGAGCGAGGGGAGTCGTCCTGGAAAGCTAAATATCCCAGCAGGCAGCAAACATGCATTCTGACACGCCCCGACGTGCCGAAGGCATGGTGACGGATGTTCAAGCGCAACAACAATTGGTTCGGCGTCATCGGGAAGTTTGAGGCAAAGGACAGGGTTGACTGCAGGCTGAATTTGAAGTGCAAGTTGCACCCACAGGACGACGGTTTGGTGTCCTGCGCTGCCGATTTTGAGCGCGTGGCGCTCCACGGAGGCTGCCATCGAGCGTGCAATTGCCTGCTTCCTCGTTGTGGGCACTGCTGTCCGCTGCGGTGCCATCCCTTCGACCGCGAGCACGCCGACGTGGTATGCAAGGCGCGCTGCAATCGACCCAGGCCTGCGGGCTGCAACCACGTCTGCAGGCACATGTGCAAGGACTGCCACGGCGAGACACCAGAGGACCTCTGCCCGACCCTGTGCGAGGAGATTATGGAGGTGACGCTTCCCTGCGGGCATCAGCAGAAGGAGCCATGCCATCGCGTTCAGGACGAGAACCGTCTCGGAGAGATTGATTGCCAGACGATTGTTTCCGTGGAGCTTCCCTGTGGACACGTCAGCCGCGTTCCATGCCACTTGGCAGGGGGGCACCGGAGCGGAGTAGCACCGTTGGCGTGCAGCTTCAAGGAGAAGGTCCGCGCCGAGTGTGGCCACCAGGTGATGAAGCACTGCATGAGTCTCCAGCGCTGCAACAAGGCCTGCGAAAAGGTAATCGATGTCTGCGGTCATCCTTGTGGTCGCAAGTGCTCTGATTCGCACGACCACGCAAGTTGCCAACATCCCTGCGCGGAGTTACTGCACTGCGGTCACAAATGTCAAGAGCGATGTGGTAAGCAACACACCGACCTTTGCGCAGCGCCATGCGCGCGGGTCTGTACCCACGGGCACCAGTGCCTGAACAGTTGCCATGAGCGGTGCGTGCCCTGCCGTGAGCCGTGCAAGTGGCGCTGCATTCATCTCCAGTGCAATAAGCTCTGCCACGAGGAGTGCGACCGGCCGCGATGTGAGCAGCTGTGCGACAAGGTGCTCGGCTGTGGACACCTCTGCCGTGGCGTCTGCGGGGAGCCGTGCGTGCGCTGCGTGCAGTGCTTCCGCCAGGAGGAAACTTGCCCTCTCACGCTAGAGCTCCTGACGAAGCTGCCAGGGAAGCTTTACGAGCTCGACTGCGGCCACGCTTTCGACCTCAATATGCTGGACGGGTACATGGACACCCAGCAGGAGAACAATGGCCACGCAGCGATCCTGGCGAAGTGCTGCCCTACCTGTCGCAAACAGGTGCACAAGGCGCCCCGCTACCAGGCCCAGATCAAGCGCCAGCTCGGCCTGATCGACGCCGTCAAGGAGCAGAAGCGGCGCGAGCAGAGGCGCCTGACCGACGCCGAGCGCCGCGAGGTGGACCTGGCCATGGGCGGAGGCCGGTCCGGCGCAGGCCACTGGTTCGCGTGCCCCAATGGGCACCCCTACTTCATTGGCGAGTGCGGCGGAGCGATGCAGGAGAGCCGGTGCCCCGAGTGCGGCGCGCGCGTGGGCGGCGGCTCGCACCGCCTGCTGGCTGACAACAGCTACGTCGCGGACTTTGCGGGCGACGGCGCGGCGCCTCCGGCCTGGCCCGGCGTCGCGGGCGCTGGCGCCCCGCTCGTCTGAGAGGTCGGGTGGGGCCGCCAGCTCGAGCATCCGCGGGCGCGTGCGCTGGCACGTGCGCCCTCGCCAGCCCCTCTCACGGTGAACGGGCGCAGCCCGAGAGCGGCTACAGCTGCTCTGCTCGTTCCAGCAGGCGGTGCCGAGAGTGTTCGGCCCGTGTACGTCGGCGTGCTTGCGCGACTGCGTGTCGCGCTGCATTCCATCTCTTGGGCTGCCTCAGGCGGTCTGCATGTACGTGCATAGCCAGAACGTCGAAGACGGTTTTTGCCATCAGTCTTTCCATGTTGCTCGCGAGTGGCGATGCGCCATTTCCACCGTGCAGCTATGTGCCTCCCCTAAACAGCATGCGTAGTATGGCAGCCTTTATATGCCATGCATGGCGTGATGTTGTATTTAGGTGTGTAGGGTGTGTTGACTTTTTAAATGATCCCTGATATCCTGAAATGGCTTTGTTGTTATCACTCAGACGCCTCCGACTCACACCTCTCCACTCCCTCTCCCCCACTCCTCCTCCTCCTCCTCCTCCTCCTCCTTCCTCAGACTCGTCAAATTCAGGTTCACTCGCACTCGCGTTCAGTCATACTCAGATTCACTCCTACTCAGACTCGCTCACAGTCAGACTCACTCACATCCTCCACTTTCTCACTCTGACTCACTCATACTCAGGCTCACTGATATTCAGACTCGCTCACACCCAAACTCACACCCGCCTCTTCCTCACTCAGACTCGCTCATACTCAGACTCACTCGCACTGAGACTCATTCATGCTCAGATATGCTCACACTCGGACCCATTCACTCTCGGACTCACTCACTCTCAGAGTCACTCACACGAAGACTCGCTCACGATCAGCCCCACTCGCACATGGACTTGCGACGCACTCGCACTCAGTCAGACTCGCAGATTTCCAGGATGTCTCGAGCGAGGCGCTGGCTCCAGCACCCCGAGGGTGCGCCGCCAGGGGTGGTTTCACGGCCTCGTTCGTGCACAGATTGTGGGCATGTCTCGGGCAGTTTGCCTGTGTGGTTGGCCAGGCTCCTCTGCTTCCAGGGCAGATCGTGAGGATGCCTCGAGCGAGGAACTGGTTTCAGCACCCCCCCAGAGGGGGAGCCGACAGGTGTGGTTTCACTCCCCCGTTCGCGCCCAAATCGTGGGAATGCTTCAGGCGGTTTGTCTCTGTATCGTGCATCGCTCTTGTCGTCGTTGACCCTCAGGGTAGTCATCGCCGTCGCCGCCGTACGTGTCGTCAAATCGGATTCGCCCTCGCACACAGAGCCATGGACAGAGACCTGCAGCCAGGTTATCGGTGAAGGGATATGCACATATGAGGATCCCATCATCGACCAATTGTTATACTCTTACAGTTGCCGTGCGCAGCTGTCTGTTGTTTCTCTCGGTCTCGGCATCCCTTCGGCATTGCTTGATGCTGCGCCACTCGATGGCTGCAGATTGGCGAACCAGGCGGGGCCGTCCTTGCCTCGTCAGTCTCGCAAAGCATCCCCTTTGGCTGCGGCTCGCAGCCTCAGGCTCAGCACTCCCCCTCGTCTGCTCACCTCCTCGAGAGCAAACTCCCCGCGTTCTCCCGCGTCCACCTCCTCTGCGCCTGCCCTTCAGGACTATATTGCTCTTCTTGATGCTACTGTGTAGCGCGAGCGCGCCTCGCATCTCCAGCGCGGCTCGAGAGGGCAATACTGCACGCAGCGGCGGCATGCCGCTTTTGTTTTTGCATCGCTGGCTCTGCGCGACACCCTACGTATGGGGCCGGGGCCGATCACAGAGAGTCTCGTTGTTTCGCCAGCCGCGCGGAGGTCCGTTGCGGATCCAGTCGTCGCCGCCAGGAAGGAGCGTTGTGCCGCCGCTCTCCTGGACCCCCCGTGCCCCGGACCACCCTTCTACAATCTGTTCTGAACCCCATTGAACTCCGCATGATCCCCCACACGCCAGCGTATTTCATAACCTTTCAGAACCCGAACGCCCGAACTACAGTCAACGCGCATAGTAAGGACAAACGACTTTTTCAATGGTACCCTTGGGTCCTTGCCTGCCTCAGCCTCTGCGGCCCGTCCCTAGCAATTTTCGCAGGCCAGTTTCTCAGGTTCCCTGGGGGTTTGGCCGCCTGCCGCCCAGAGTACTTCAACTTCGGCCTCCAAGGGTCTTGCGTCCTTACCACGCGTCCTTACGATACGTTTTCACAGTACTTGTACAAAACCTTTGGGAGTCTTCCTCGAACCCCCTAGACACACCAGACCCCCCTCAGGCGCCCGCCCCCTCAGAAAGTCGCTGACGCCCTTAAGATCCCAGAGACGCTTCAGAACCCCGAGTCCCTAACCATCCTCCGGAACCCCCTTCAGAACCCTTCTGTTCCCCCTTGAGTCCGTATCCGGTTACCACGCTTCGCGCTTCATGGTTTGGGCGGGATCACTGTCCATCTGCATGGAGGCGGCGCCAAGGCGTTCCCGCATCGCGCCATCCACAGCGCGAAGTTAGGTGGCTTGGAGAACTGGTCATAATTCCCCCAAGCCCTTTAGAGCTCCTCCTCCTTCCTCTCCATAAGTGAGTAAGTGGTCTGATTCCATGCTGAAAAGAATCATCGCTCACCGCGTGGTCATGCCAGCGCCCCACATATACACTCCATGCTCCTCCTCGTCCAGTTCCGTTTCCCTCTCCCTCCTACTTCAACCAGTTCTTCTCCTCCTCCTCCTCATCCTCCTCCTCCTCCTGTTGTTGTTGTTGTTGTTGTTGTTGTTGTTGTTGTTGTTGTTGTTGTTGTTGTTGAATTCTCATTTCTGAAGAACAATTGTTGTTGATCCCCCCCACTGGTTCAGACTCTTTTTTTCAATTCTTTACGCTTCGCGTATCCCCACCAGCCCATCTCAAAACAGCAACTCTTGCGAAGCATGCCGACAGTCGTGTTTTTCAGGCGTGTTTCCGCCTGCCCCCGCATATCTCCCCTGTTCCTCCTTCCTCCCGCCTCCTTGTACATCCTCCTTGTGGTGGGAGCGGGAGAAGGACGAGGCGGAGGAGGAGGGAGAGAAAGCGCTCCTCGTGGTTTGAGTCGTTTGGGGTTTCTTGTCCTGGTGTGAGTCGTTCGGGCCCTTCTTCCTGGTGTGAATCGTTCGGGCTCTTCGTGATGTGAGTCGTTCGGGCTCTTCGTCCTGGTGTGAGTCGTTCGGGCTTCTCGTGGTGTGAGTTGTTCGGGCCCCTCGTCGTCGTGTGAGTCGTTCGGGCCCCTCCTCCTGGTGTGACTCGTTCGGGCTCCTCGTGGTGTGAGTCGTTCGGGGCCCTCGTCGTGGTGTGAGTCGTTTTGGGAGCCTCTTGGAGGCCTTTTGGGGCGTCTTCGGGGCCTCTTGGCGGCCCCAGGGGCTTCTAGGAGCGTCTTGGGTGCCTTGGGGGAGCCTCTTCGGGCCTCTTGGGAGCCTCTTGGAGGCCGTTTGGGGCGTCTTGGGGGCCTCTTGGCGGCTCCAGGGGCTTCCAGGAGCGTCTTGGGTGCCTCGGGGGAGCCTCTTGGGGCCTCTTGGGCGCCTCTTGGGGGCATCTTGGGGGCCTCTTGGAGGCCTCTTGGGGCCTCTTGGGACTCTTTGGGAGGGGTCTGGGAGGAATCTTGGGGCCATCTGTCGGGCGATCGATCACAGATGGGGCGAGCACTTTTCTCCCCCCCCCCGTCGGGGCCAGAATCCTCGTGAGGGGTGTCGAATTTTAGCCCTCCCAGGAGTCGAAAAAGACCCCTCCAACGACCCGCGAGACGCCCTCTCCAGGCCCAGGGGGAGGGGGTAGGGGGAGGGGTAAACCCCTCCCCGAAGGGGAAGAAGGGGGTTGAGAACAGAGCGGGCTCTCTAAACCACTCACGCCCAAAGGGCTGGTGGGATTCAACACTTACACAATCTGAATACTACTTTCTTCTCTCCCCTTGTGGCGTCCAGGAAATTTCGGCCCCCCCTCCGCGTACTGTTTTGTTACACGCCGGGTTCCGGGGAAACGGGTTTTCGCTGGTTTATTTTCAATATGCTTCTCTCGACGAAGCGCTGGCCTCATTTTCGTGCTTCGCTCGTTCCGAATCGTGCTCCCGCTGCAGCGCTGGCTTCATTTCCGCGCTTCCGCTCGTTCCGAATCGTGCACCCGCTGCATCTTTGGCGTCATTGTTGCCAGCGCCTTGCCACAGCGTCATTGTTGTCATCGGTCCTTCAAAGAGGCCCCAAAATCTAGAAAATGCCCCCCCCTCGAAAAACCCATCGGACGTGATTACACATTCGGTGCCGATTCGTTGATTTTTTGGGTCGCAGAAGCCCTTCCACTTTGGGGCGTCGCCACGCCATGCTATGTCAGGCTACGCGTCCTCCGAATCGTGCTCCCGCTGCAGCGCTGGCCTCATTTCCGCCGTTCCGCTCGTTCCGAATCGTGTTCCCGCTGCAGCGCTGGCGTCATTATTCCCAGCGCCATGCCACGGCAGGGTTTTCGGTCCTTCCAAATAGGCCCCACAATCTAGAAAATGCACCCCCGAAGAAACCATAGGACGTGATTACACATTCGGTGTCGATTCGCTAATTTTTTGGGTCGCAGAAGCCCTTCCACTTTGGGGCATCGCCACGCCATGCTATGGCAGGCTACGCGTTGACCTTCAACACCATGCTATGCCATGTAATGCTATGCTCGGCTACGACATCCGACTGTGCGAATATAGAGGAGATCTGCGACATGGTAAGGGATGGGAGGGAGGGTTAATATGTCAGATACGACGCGAGCGCACCTAGCTTGTCCCCCTCCCCCTCCTCCCCCTCCCCCTCGTCCCCCTCTCCCGGGGGCCCCCCCCGCTTCGGGATTTAGCCACCTGTTCGAGATCTCAGAGCAGGACTGGGGGCTGGGGAGCGCTTCTTCGAATCAGATCGGCTGGGGCAGTGGGCATACTTCCCAGGGCGTGGAGCACGATTTGCGCAAGCAGTGCTCCCGCTTCGGCGAGATCATCCACTTGGTAATCGAGGCAGGCGATC